GTGAGAGCATCCACTTCAGACAACGGTCTTGTACCTTCTTTAGACTAACATTTCCACAGGTAACTGTAAACTTTGGGAAAAATATAGAATACAGCAAGTTGAGAGTAGTTGAAAGCAATTCAAAGAAGGTACTGGTAGGGAGTCAACATTTGGCAAAAGGGAATGGTGCTTTTGGCCGGAGGCCAGGCTCATCTGTGTCATACAGGGGTAGAGGGTGGGGACAGATGACTAAAAACCCAGTTGAAAAAAATCCATTATCGGCAGGGCATGGTGGCTCATGCCTGTAATCCTAGCACTTTGGGAGGCCAAGGTGGGTGGATCACCTGAGGTCAGGAGTTCAAAACCAGCCTGGCCATCATGGTGAAACCCCATCTTTAAAAATAAACAAATAAATAAATAAATAATAAAAACAAGTCCATTATCTTACTGGCTTGAGATACCAGAGGACAGAGTTTGGGGGCATCCATTGCCTCTGAAAAGTAAGAAGGAAATTCCCCAAAATTGAAAGCCAAAGAAAAGGAACCCCAAACTCTGTATATAAAATCTACCTAAATACTGTGGCTGACCTCCACACTTTGAACTAACCATACACAGTGAAGATTCCAAGCAGCATAACTAAAGACTGAAACAATTGGACTGAGATTTGAGTTGCTGTTCATTACAGTTTATTGCTTTTTCAATCAATTTTACTGCCAGCTTAAAAAAAAAGTTTTCCAAGGAACATGATAGAATAGCATCCAGAGTCTCTACAACATATTATTCACAATGTCTAAGACACAATCCCGAATTGATCTACATGAAAGGAAACAGGAAAAACAGAACCCATATGAGAAAAGACAATGAAGACTGGTTCTGAAATGACTAAGATATTGCAATTAGCATGTGAGAATTTTACAGCAGCTATTCAAGAACTTTTGTTGAGGAAACACATACCCGGCCAAAAGGAAACCAACACCAGCTGTCTCCATTAATCCTCAAAGCTCTTCATTTGTGGATTATCATTTATAAGAATTTGAGAAAAAAAACCATAGCATTAAACAGATTAATAAATCTAACCAACTGGGCCCAGAGAAAACAGATAATTTAGGGAGCAGAGGAAAACTTGAAAAAATTGGTAGTATCCTTAAAGATATTCAAGAGGAGATTGCACTGATAAAATAATGAGGCTGCCAGGTGCGGTGGCATATGCCTGTAATTTTAGCTGTTTAGGGGACTGAGGCAGGAGGATCCCCTAAGTCCAAGAGTTTGAGGCTGCAGTGAGTTGTGATTGTGCCATTGCATTCCAACTGGGGCAACAGAGTGAGACCCCATCTCTGAAAACAGACAAACAAAAAACAGGCTACTGTGAAGAAGAACAACAGTAAATATCAAAGAAAAGTCTACATGGAAGTAAAAAAAGAATAATAGATTTGCTGAAGACCAAATTGATGTTCTGGAAAGTGAAATTTATTAGAATGTAGAGAAAGAAAATAAATGGTGGAAAATATGAGAGAAATGTTGAGGCATGGAGGATAGACCCAAGAAATTCAAGATCCAGAACACAATTTTTCTTAGTTGGAGAAAGGCAAGTGTCTTTAGATGGAAAAAAAATCATGTCAGCCATATAGAATTAGACAGAAAACAAAAACCCAAATATCCATGCTGAAACACATCCTGGTCAAATTTCAGAACTCTCAGTATAAAGAGAATATCTTAAAAGAATTAGGAAAAACAAAACATTACTTACATTGGAATTATAATCAGACTGATAGATATCTCGTCAGCAATCCTGTATGCTGGAAGACAGCAGAATACTGCTTTCAACATTTTTGTAGAAAATGATTTTCAAGGCTGGGCACGGTGGCTCACACCTGTAATCCCAGCACTTTGAGAGGTTGAGGCAGGGAGATCACCTGAGGTTGGGAGTTCGAGACCAGCCTGACCAACATGTAGAAACCCCATCTCTACTAAAAAAACCCACAAAATTAGCCAGGTGTGGTGGCGCATGCTTGTAATTCCAGCTTCACTCGGTAGGCTGGGGCAGGAGAATCGCTTGAACCCAGGAGACAGAGGTTGCAGTGAGCTGAGATCGCACCATTGTACTCCCCTGGGCAACAAGAGCGAAATTCCGTATCAGAAAAAAAAAAAAAAGCCGTCAGAACTAACAAAAAGTAGAGGTTCTTTTAGCCACTGGCAGTGTTACAGGACCCCACCACTTACTAGGGGTTTCTGCACTATAGTCCCTTCTGTGATCGCCAGAAATATATACAGGAAAGGGATCCCAATCAAGACCCAAGAGAGGTTTCTTGGATCTCACACAAGAAAGAGTTCAGGGCAAGTCTACAGTGCAAGTGAAAGCAAGTTTATAAAGAAAGTAAAGAAGTGAAAGCACAGCTACTCCATAGCCAGAGTAGGATGTTCCCAAAAGTAAGAGGAGGAATGTGTCCACCCTAGGCACAATGCTTGTATATATTGAGAGATGTGCTCTGCTACAAGGCTTTATGATAAAAGAATTAATTTTCCAATTACTATATTTTGCAAGAATTAATATTATCTTTAAAGCAAAATTATAAATGCCTTTGTTCTCCAGATATCAGGATATCTGGACAATCCCAAGTCTCGGTCTGTTTAGTAAACATTATAAATTTGTTCCTTTAACTGTAAACATCCAGAGGCTAGGAAAACCTAACTTTCTGGGAAGGCAGCCCAGCAAATCCCAGTCTCATTTTCTTAGCCCTCGCTCAAAATGTCTCTGACAGCAATATTAAAAGATGATATGGGCCAGGTGAAGTGGCTCACACCTGTAATCCCAACACTTTGGGAGGCTGAGGTGGGCAGATCACCTGAGGCCAGGAGTTCGAGACCAGCCTGTCCAATATGGTGAAACCTTGTCTCTACTAAAAATACAAAAATTAGCTGGGTGTGGTGGCATGGACCTGTGATCCCAGCTACTCCAGAGGCTGAGGCAGGAGAATTGCTTGAACCCAGGAGGCAGAGGTTGCAGTGAGCCGAGATAATGCCACTGCACTCTAGCCTGAGCAATAGAGCAAGACTCTCTCTCAAATAAATAAATAAATAAAATAAAAATAAAAAATAAAATAAAAATACGGAAAAGTGTTATGAAAGCTCTTACTCCTACATTCTACCAACCCTCTATAAGGTCAGTGTTGGAGCCAAGCAATTAAAAATCACAATTGGGGTGGATAATTTAGCATCTAGGTCAGTAATTAGCAAATAGTAGTTTCCTCATCCATGTTTGTTGAATTAGCATAAAATATTGTGGCTTATGTACTGATGTGGCTAGCTACTTTATCAAGGCAGTAATTTGTCCTTTATTCTTGCTGCTGTAGAGATCTTTTTACATTCCCAAGCTAAGAAGGTAGCCACATCTTGTGTTTTTTGTTTTTGTTTTTACCTAGAGGGTTTTTGTGTTGCATCAGGAAGCAGACATTGCCAAGCAAGAGAAGATGACTCCTTCTTAGTCTTTTGTTTGCAATAACCTTGGCTCAGTGAGAGTTATGCAGAAAGTAAGTGCTTGAAACTTAACAGATAGAAGCTGTGGGACCCAAGGGGAGAGGAAGATTCCTGAGACTAACAGATGGACTTGGGTTCTGGGAGGTGGTGGTGGGTGATTCTGTGCTGGGCAAAAGTATCACCCCAGGATTAGACAGTCTCAGGCTGGTGGACTCCAAGAATATAGTCCTGGGAGCAATGGCACAGATATCCCCTGCCTACCTTCAGAAGACCATGTGGGCAGGGATGGTGAACTTAACAGAGACCAGCATGGACAGAGGTCTAGAGGACCCTTCTGTGACTCTGACCCCTCCCACCAGCTACACTCTGGGACTCTGGACCTTTAGTTGAACCTGAGGAGGCAGAGAACGCTACTGAGTGAGATTGAATGTCTCACCAACTGGATGGCTGGGGGTTCAGGGCAGATTAAAATTGTTTAGTGTAAATTTTTAGCTTGCCACAATAGTACCATCCTTGACAGGGCTTGCTTGGTCAATGACTCATCTAGAGCATACAATGAAAAATTATTCACAAGATGGGAGAGCTAGCTGTGACTTCTATGTTCATCTAATCCAGATTCTTCATTTTTAGATTAGGAGACCGAGGTAAAATATATTAAAAAAAAACGAGGCCAGGTGTGATGGCTCATGCCTGTAATCTTGGTGTTTTGGAAGGCCAAGGTAGGAAGTTTGCTTGAGGCTAGGAGTTTAAGACCAGCCTGGGCAACATAGTGAGATCCTGTCTCTACAAAAAATTTTTTTAAATTAGCTGGATATGGTGGTGTGCACCTGTGGTCCTAGCTACTTGGGAGGCTAAGGTGGGAGGATTGCTTGAGCCCAGGAGTTAGAGGTTGCAGTGAGCTACGATCATGCCACTACACTCAAGATTGGGTGACTCAAGACTGTGTCTCTGAAAAAAAAAAATATATATATATATAAAAAACTTGTTCCAAATCATGAGCCCAAAGCCAGTGTAGGACTGAGACAGTGGGTTGTCAACCCTCATACACTTTTCTTTCTACCTCACTACTTGTAAATTTCAGTCTACTTTTTTTCTGCTCCACTACCTGTAAAATTGAGACATATTTTTGGCAATTAGAATACCTTATCATTTTATTAGGGCTCTGAATATCCCTTATCAAAGTAAGATCTTACAATTTAAAAATGCAATAAAAATGCAAACTTTAAAAATATCCAGATCTGATAGTGGAGGTAAAAAAAGAACCGTAGCTATGTGGATTTTCCAGTTACTCCACACTATAGAAATTGTAAGCAGATGACCTGAGTCATGTATAAAGTAGGTGATATTACAGTTTCTGAGAATTAAATACCTATTCTGAAGGCATTTTAAATGTGGATATGTGTATGTACATGTGTTAATATACAGACACACATACAGAAATCTTTCTGCTATCAAACATTGGGTAGAAATTTCTTTTCAGAGGTGTGTGTGTGTGTGTGTGTGTATGTGTGTGTGCATATGCATGTATGTGTGTGTATTAAATCAACTTAATAGCTAAATCAAAAGTTTATTTGTAATTTATGATTGGGTCTTCTTTCATAAGAATCACCCTGTATAATACTACTTCTAGTCTAACTTCCCCCAATATCCAGTGTTTTTCTAATCTATGTCTTTGTCCACCTTCTTCGCCTTTGCTCCTTGCAGGTAAAACGCTGATTGGAATTTGGCTTCTTATTTCTTTCTGGACAACTGTGTCAGAGAATAAAACCATCCCATCATAAAAGCCTCCTTCTAGTTGAATGAGCAGCCTGCACTACCACTCCATGATAAGAAGACCTAGGTAACCTGAGTGTTTGTTCATCTGTAAGTCCAGCAGCTGCCTGTGGGTCACTGTGAGCTCAGACTTTGCTCTAGGCAGATTCAAGAGGCAGGGTGTCAGGAGGGCAATGCCCACATGACAAAAGCCTGTCCTTTAGATGTGGCACCACTAAGAGATGCTGTGTCACAGGAGATTGGCCTGGCTTGTCCAGCCGTCTGTTCAGATGTTCCCATAGGAGTCTCTCTTCCAGCAGAGTCCATGGCGAATGTGGATAACCAGCAGTACCATTAGGACAGCAGATATCAGGCAAAAGGCAACAGCAAAGATGAACTTTAGAACTGTGGGAAAATAGGAAAAGTATTAATGTAAAATTAATGCATTAGTTAAATATGAGGATCACATGAGTGTTGCTTTCTGCCTTAATTGCAAATTTCAGAAGTGTTTCTGAAAAGGCCTTGAAATCAGCATTGTGTGTGTGGTAAAAAGAACACAGGACTAGGAGTCAGGAGATGACCTAGGTTCCAGTTCCAGCATGACCTTTGACCCTTGGGATTCAGCTCCCCACTGAAAAGGAAGGGTAATTGACCTAAGTATTTCTAAGTCCTCTTATAGCACTAACTTTATGCATTTTCCTATAGTTAAATTACCAATTACTCATGTTCTCAGGGTCAAAGGAAATTCTGAATGCTCAACTGCAATCCGTTGGATCTAAAAGAAATGAAATCTTCCGATTTTTAAATTTGATTTTTAGGTAAATATTTGTTAGGAGGAGATCTTGAGCACATTTTGACTATGACAAACATTTTTAGCATAACTGTGTGCTATTGCTAATATGTAACTTTATTCACACATATTCCTTTGATAGCTGATGAGTAAAAGCAGATATTTGGGGCCAATTTTTAATAAGATGCTAATTCATTATTTCATCTGGAAAGTTACTCTCCTACACACACACCCTAGTCCACTATAATATACACATCATAAATGCCAGTTTATACCATCTCTAAATGTATGTGTCTTCATTGTAAAAATATAAGGTTTCTTATTGGCCTAGGCATTGGGAGAGCAAGCATCTCTCTGATCCCATCAGCTCTTTCTGTAGAACCGTAGTGCACCATAGAACACAGGTGAAAATCATAGATTTCATCTGACATTATCACTGTGAAAATGAGGAGAATAAGAAGCAGAGCAATTAGATAATCTGGTTAAGGTTAATCAGATAATTGTGTTGGGGTTGGAATCTTATCAGTCCCATGATTTTAAAAACCATCTATTGGGCGATTACTTCCAAATATCGATCTCCAGCTCTGACATCTATCTTAAGTGCTAGACTCTTATATCCAATTGTATGCTTGATATGTTTCTTTAGATATCTAATGGGCTTTTCAATCTCAAGTCCAAAACTGAACTCCTGATCTTCCCATCCTCCTCCCCCACACCAAATCTGCTCTTCCCAGAGCCTTCCCTCATTTCAGTTGATGGAAACTCCCTTCTGTTGGCTTAGGATAAAACTCTTAGAGTCTTTTTTAACTCATTTATTTTTCTCACACCTTACACTATCAGGGAATCCTACTGGTCCTACCAAAAAATACATCCCAACACTGACTTTTTTTCCTCACTGTCACCACCCTGCTTTGAACCACCATCATCTTTTGCTGGGATCACTACAGTGGCCTCCTAACTTGTTCCCTTGTTTCTAACCTTTTTTTTTTTTTTTTTACAGAGTCTCACTCTGTCACCCAGGCTGGAGTGCAGTGGCATGATCATGGCTCATGCAGCCTTGATCACCCAGGCTCAAGTAGTGATCCTCCCACCTCACCCTCCCAAGTAACTATAACTATAGGCACATACCACCATGCCTGGCTAATTTTTGTATTATTTTTAGAGATGAAGTTTTGTCATGTTGCCTGGGCTGGTCTCGAACTCCTGAGTTCAAGTCATCCATCTGCCTTGGCCTCCTAAAGTGCCTAAAGTGCTAGGATTATAGGCGTGGGCTACCACACCTGGCCACAGTCCTTTTTTTTCTGCCTTCCAGGTTCAAGGGATTCTCCCGCCTCAGCCTCCCAAGTAGCTGCACCACAATGTCTGGCTAATTATTTTTTGTATTTTTAGTAGAGATGGGGTTTCATTATGTTGGCCAGGCTGGTCATGAACTCCTGACCTCAGGTGATCTGCCCACCACCACCTCCACCTACCAAAGTGAAAAGCAGAAAAGCATGTTCCATAGGACTGCTATGACAACACAGCCCATAAAAATAACTAAAAATAAATTTCTAAATACAGAGAGTCAGCCATGAAAATAGATTTTTAGGAATCACTAGTATCTGCCTTCCTCATTTCCATTGAGTCCTTTCTTACCTTCTTCAATTTCATTTAGTTTCCTTAAACTTATATTAAATCCATCTGCAGTTCTAATGACAATATCTCTCAGGGTATAACTTTCAATCACCTTATCATGATGCTAAGAAGCATCCTGGCATCATGAGAAAATACTGGAGTAAGAGTTGGGAACCTATAAGTTCTAAGTCATTAAAACTAAGACATGTGGTGAGCGCACATGTACCAGGTAGGCTGTACTGGGTGCTGAGCTTCATAATCTCTGCCCAACATCTAGCAGGAGAACCAGATAGATAATTATGAGATAATTCGATAACTACTAAAATGTGGGTGCAAAAGAAATGCTATTGGAACAAAGAGAAAGTTGCAGTCAACAGAGTGTATTTGATTTGAAAGAGAAAGAGTTTGGAAAGTCTTCTGAAAATTGAGCTGGCCTGCAAGGCAAGTAAGACTTTGCCATGAGACAGAAGAGTTTTTAAAGGGCATGTTTGGGACATAATGAGAAGTTACACATGACTAGAGCACAGGCTTCCGGGAGGTGAAATCATATGTGTAAATGGGGACCCAGTTTTTTTGGTTTGTTTTTTTGAGATAGGGTGTCACTCTGTTGCTCAGGCTAGAAGTGCAGTGATGCAATCACTTCTCACTGCAGCCTCAATCTCCTGAGCCCAGGTGATCCTCCCACCTCAGTTTCCAGGGGTAGCTGGGACCACAGGTATGCGCCACCATGCTTGGCTAATTTTTTTTGTATTTTTTGTAGACATGGAGCCTCACTATGTTACCCAGGCTGGTCCCAAACTCTTAGGCTCAAGAGATCCTCCCATCTTGGCCTCTGAAGATGCTGAGATTATAGGCATGAGCCACTGTGCCTGGCCAGGGTCCAGTTTTTAGAATGCTTCATTTGACATGGGACAAATGGCAGTCATCAGCAATTATTTCATACGGAAATGATACACCCACTCTGTTTAAACAAAACAAAAACCGTGGAAAAGATAGGATGGTGGAAATACATTAGGCCTGATAGAGAGCTATTGAAAATGCCTTTGATAAGACATCGGGGACTTAGAACTGGAATTGTGGCCCTGGAAATGCAGAGGAGGGAATTCAGGAGATGCTCCTGCAGTGGAATTAACAGGCTTTGGTAACAGACTGCATAGACTGGTGAGGGAGGAGCTGTGGCGAAGGCAATCTCATGGCTTTTTGTTTGGGTAACTGAGAAGATAAATTGTGTTTGGGACTACGAAAAAGAATTGGAGTCGAGACGATAATATATTTTGTCTCTACTGTGGGATTGAGACAGGTTATTATCCTAACAGAGACTATCAGTAGGCAGCTTGACAAAACAGGTTAAGAATTCTACAGTTAGGTGTGGAAATAAGGATTGTAGACATAGAAGACAGAGGCCTGGGTATACTGGCTCATACTGAGTGTAGAATGAGGAACCCAAGAACAACAGAAAGACTCAGGAGAGTGCACGTGCTTTCTCCCCCTGTGATATTTATTTATTTATTTTTAAATGATATGCTCCTTTGTACTATAAAATATTTCAGAAGCTTGGCAGAGCAGTGTCCTAAACACTGAGAAAAGATAGCATGATCAATTCTATCTTACTACAAAGAGATCTAGTACAGATAATGACTGAAAAGAATCTTCTTAAGACAAAAAGCCAATTACAGCATCTGTCCTCTGCCTAAAACCTTTCCGTGATCACAACTGCTCAGCCTGACCTATGGAGCACTTAATGCTTGCCTCTGTGGCCTCAGCTCTCCTCACATTCACTAAACTTTTTCCATTTCCCAAAGTGCTCTATGCTGCCTTTAGCCTCTTGGCCTTTATACATTCTCCTCTTTTGTCTGTAACATCCTCCTCTCTCATCACCTTCATTCACCTGCTTAGTACCTTTTCTCCTTCAGGTTCCAGTTTGAACATCATTCCTCCAAGAAGCCTTCTCTGACCCATTAGGCTAATTGTCTCTGCTGTGTTTTCTCCTGTATGCCCTTCATCGTAGAATTCACTGTACTTTGCTCTTAGGGCTGATTTAATTATTTATCTCCTTGTCCATCCCTCCTTCCCCTACAAGGTCCGCAAGCCACATGGGGACAGTCTTCTCATCTGCTGCTATTTACTCGGCAAGCTTAATGCTTGATACTTAGGAAAATATTGAGTACATAATAGGTTCTCAATATATCTATTGCTAATTAAATATTCAGGTATCTTGACCCACCAACCCTATTTTTGGAAATTGGTCTAAGAAAATACTATGTAAGACACTGTGGAATGAAAGTGAGTATGATGGTAGAAACAGGGTGTTGGAAAGTGTTAGGCTTGAATCCTGACCCTATTACTTGTGGCTTGAATCCTGACCCTATTAGTCTGAGCTTCAGTTTTCTTCTCTGCAAATTGGGGATGTTAATAGCTGCTTCACAAGGAAAGAAAGGCCACTGAATTAGACACTGATGGGTTTTGAAAGAGAAGTTTCAAAAAAAAAAAAAAAAGAGATGACAGAAGGGTAGACATACTTTACAGAATAATTAAGACATAAGAAGGATGTGAGAAAATAGTATAAGAACATATAAATCATTAGTTCAAGAAAATTGATATTGAGGAGAGTGAGGTGAAATAAGCCCTTGAGGGTGTTTTGATGAGAGGATATTTGGGCATTTTCATAGTAGAAGGGAAGGAGCCAGTGCAGAGGAAGAGAGTGAAGTTAGCCAAGAGATTCACTGAGGTCCTGAGGAAACTGTGGAGATGGACTCACACACACAGTGAGGTCAGCCCACATGGGGGGAATGTGATTTCCTGAGGGACAGCAGCAAAGGAAGGTTTGAGCTACTGAGATACTTTTGAGGTTGTGAGAGTAGAACTTAAAGGAGTTATCAATGGATTATCTTGCTTGTAAGAATGAAAAAAACAAAATGGAATAAGACATTTGGGAAAATAGGCCTTCCTGCAGAGAGTAGGAAAAGTAGGGGTGAATACATTTACCACGAAACGTTGAGAG